CCGATCTTCCTTCATGGTATTGTAGTACTTTTACTAACTGTACTATAAAGTTTTCTCACCGGGTGAATGACACATGATGTAGCCCAGCGGTTCCCAATTCCAGTCCTCGCGCAAGGGAAGCAGGGGAAATCCATTGAAGTTTACTTCACTTCGGAACATTCATTCACGGATTTGCGCTGCGCAGCGTCTTCACACACAGACGAAACTTACTAGAGAAGTGTGAAGTGACATAATATACCTCTGTAAATAAATACTATTTAAATTCACGTCTCGCACACTTTAATGCCCTTTGTATGGAACATATTCGCTCGCTTCGAACTGGAATCATGGCGGAATATCCGGTGATGTACACTTCCCAGGGCACTCATGGTCAAATAGAACAATCGTTGCACGTGATAAGAGATACATGAAATGTGCAGAGCAGGAGGGTGCGAGGACTGGAATTGGGAACCGCTGATGTAGCCTATTGTAATGTTGTCTCTGGTATTCTAGTCTGTGAGCGTATATGCTTTCAGGGGGCGTGGCTTTGGACGGCGATTGTAGGGAGGGTGGGACGTTCGTTTTCAGTGCCATCAGGCTAAAGTTAGCATTTTCCAAGATCTCCTACTGCACCTTTAAAAACGAGAGAAAAAAAAAGATTGGTTCACTCCTAGCAGAATCAGTATTTGATTTCTTTCTTTCTTTTGTTCCTCTGTGAAATCGGTTTGAGTAGAAAACATAACTGGTTAAAAAGTTATTTTTTTTTAACTTTTTCTTTGCCAATAATAATAATAATAATAATAAAGTACAACGTTTAATTTACTCAAAAAGAAAAAAATCATGAAGAGAGTCTTGAATGATCTCCCAATACAGCATGATCTTTTCTAGATTTACCAAAGACTTTTCTAGATTTTCTCGAGTCATAAAATGTGATTATCGGCCGATACCGATCTCCGGCCGATTGAGTGGAGCATCCCTAATTTATACTAAATGGAAATATTAAAAAAAATGTATATTTATTTATTCATTCATTCATTTGGCCGACGCTTTTATCCAAAGTGAGCAACCGGCACCACAAGGTGGCAGCACCAGCGACTTTTTCTCTGTCATCACAACTACCTGCTACTACCCCATTTCCTCCTCCCACACAAGCATCAGATCTGGTCAATCACTTAACTTTTAACCTTAAATGATGGTTTCCCCAGCATGACCTTGTCTAGTGTTTTGTTTCTGCACTATAGTCCTGTCATTGACAGTGCGGGTGCTGGTTGTAATTCTGCTTCTCTCACACTAATTTATTCATTCCTGTCAGGATTACTGAAAGGCAGTGTGTAATAACTAAGTCTGCATGCAGTCCACACAGAAACAATCTTAAAACAGTTACAACTATGTCTTCCATCCCTGCGGCTATATCTGCTTAATTTTTTCTACTCAATATTAGGTCTTTGGACTAATATTTTGCCTTCGTCTGCCAGGATTTTATCATGACCAATAATATTGATTTTTGTCATTATCACAGAGGATTATTTATTTTTTCACCAGCCAAGACTGACAGGCCGAGGGGGAGGCCTTGCAGTAATTCACAAAAGACTCCTTTGAGAGTCTTATCTTTACTTTAAAGTATAAACTGCCCATTTTATGTGTTTAAATCTACCAGCCCCCTGAATCTATCTCCGGTTTTATTCAGGAATTTTCAGACCTTTTATCAGTCATTATACTGCATTATGACAGAGTTTTTATTCTTGGTGATTTTAATATCCATGTTTGTTGCCCTTCTTCTTTCTTGTTTACTTCTGATTTTATTAAACTTTTAGACTCTCTTAATTTGACTCAATATGTGAAGCAGTACACTCATGATAAAGGACACATGCTTGGCCCTGTGCTCTCCTGGTGTCTGTGTGGATGATGTGAACTTGATTGATTTTGCCATCTAATTTGCTCCAACCTCCTAAATTCACTGTTTCTGTCAAGCTTTTTACTGCCTTAAATTTACCTTAACACACTAGTGAACAACATGACCTCTCCGTAGAGGAGCTATTTTTAACAGCTCTTGCAGAAATATTCTAGATTCTGTAGCTCCAGTCAGAGTTAGAAAGCTGAAACCACCTTCTCTACTGTGGTTAAATGAAGAATTAATAAACCTAAAAAACTAGTATGCAGGAAGGCAGAACGAAAGTGGAAAAAGGATAAACTCAGTGTCTTCCTTGCTTCTCTAAAAAATCTGATGTTCACTTGTCAGTGTAAAATTAAAGAAGCAAGGAACACTTATTTATCTGACCTGGTTACTGAACTGGGACACAATCCCAGAATCCCTTTTTTTTTTTAAACCATAAATTATATAATTGGCTCTGTCTAGCCAGCCAGGTCAGTCTACTCCAGAGAATTGTGGGGCTTTTCCAAATTACTTTTATAAAAAAAATAGTGGATATTTGGCAGCATTTTAATATTGATTTCTGAGAACATGATGTTGACTCCTGTTCAATGAACATGTTGTAAAATGTACTTCCCACGAGAAAACTTTCAAAATCATCTACCTGCCCTTCTGACTGCATTCCCACTTGGTTTCTAAAAGCTGTATTTTGGATAGTTTACCCACTACTAAAGAAGGCCTCTCAAGACCCCTCTGATTTAAGACCCATCTCCCAGTGCCATGTTAGAAATATTTTGTCCAAATTTTGTCCAGATTAAAAAAAAAAAAAGAAAGAAAGAAAAAAAAGTTGTGTCCATGCAACTGACTTCCTTTATGAATAACAATCTAATCTTTGAAAAAATTCCATCTGGCTTCCACTCCCAACATATAGGTCACTAATGATCTACTGTTTGCAGCTGACACTGGCTTGTATTCCCTTTTAATTCTTCTTGACCTCAGCTCAGCCTTTGACACAGTGGACCATAATATCTTAATCAACCATCTGAAGACTTGTGTTGGTATCAGTGATGTGGCTCTGGATTGGTTTATCTTGTATTTGTCGAACAGGTCCTTTTTTGTAGTGCTTGAAGATGCCCCCTCCTCTCATGTTTCTCTATTTTGTGGGGTCCCTCAAGGATCTATTTTGTGTCCCCTTTTGTTTCCTATTTACATGTTACCCCTGGGTCAAATTATGCGTAGTCGTGACATTGATTTCCACTGCTATGCAAAATCATGGCTAAAAGGTAAAATAAATGTTATTTTCATATATTTTAATATATTTTACATTTTCCCAATCCAGCCTTAAAATTCTATCAATCGATCTCGATCGTCTTTCCCTCAGACCCAGGACATCTGGCAGTTCTTTATATCAAACCCTGCCATACCTGTTAATCTCCATCTAAACTTTTTTTACCAATAGCAACACAAGCTATTTGAACAGCACATAAGCTTTGCATGTTGTAGTTGATGAGAAAATCTATTTACTGTCTTTTTTTCCCACTTTCTTGCTTTGTCTCAGGGAGGTAAAAGATCGATGGCAGGAGTGAACGGGGACCGTAAGGGAAAGAAAGATGACAATGGGCTTGGCACAGCCATCGACTTTGTGCTCTCTAATGCAAAGCTGGTGCTGGGGGTCGGGGGAGCAGCCATGCTCGGGATCGCCACACTGGCGGTCAAAAGAGTGAGTACAGGAACAAGCTGTAATGGTCTTTGAGTCTGTGGGTGTATTAAAGGGGTCATGTCATAAGGAATCACATTTCCAGTGATCTTGAGAATTGATGAGAATTACTATGAAAACTTCCAGTCTTTCTGACTTTTTATTGAAACAGAGCAGCAGAAACGACTTGAGACCAAATGAAATGAAATGGCAGATAAAGTTTATTTTTAACAGTGTCTCTGATCATTTCAGTTTGACCTTAACACTGAGCATCACAAATCAGTGTGGATTATTTTATGAATCTGTCACAACTCAGCTTTGCAAAGAGTATGGAGAAGTGAACTTTGTTTAAAGGGGTCCTATTATGCTCTTTTACAAAGTCTTGATTTTGTTTTGGGGTGTACTAGAACAGGCTCTCATACTAGGTTGTTCGGAAAACACATTATTTTTCACATATTTTACATTATTACAACACCTCTCTCCTCAGTCTGGCATGAACGGCTCTAATAGTTCCTGTATCAAATGAAGGCCCGCCTTCTGAAATACGAAATGTGCTGTGATTGGTTAGCTGGGCCAGTGTGTGTTGTGATTGGCAGCACTCGGCGCCTGGTCGGGAAATGTCATGCCCCTTACCATAGCCGCCTGCGAGCTTCAGTGTAAACATTGCGTCAATATCAAATTAATTTGAGCGCGATTTAAATCCGGATGATTGTAACCACTCTTAAGTTCGTCTGCCTTGGGAAAGCTAGCGTGTCTCTGACATAGTGATAACACTCGTTGCCTTCTCTAGTGCAGCTCAACCAGGTCTCGTCCCATTCGTCGATCTTTGTGATATCACAAATCCCGGAAAATGTGCGTTGTAGTCCAAACGAGTCGTTCGTTGTAGTTTTTGAAAAGTGATTTCTGTTAAATAAAATATCTCCTTTTGAAGTGGACTTTGAGCTTTGTAACTTTGTAATCTTTTTTATGCTCAAACAGCAACATTACAGACTAACTAAAGTTGAAAAAGTGAAAAAGCATAATAGGACCCCTTTAATATCCTGTGCAAGAGACCTGCACAAGTTCTGTAGCTTATTTCACATGTAATGAAGATGTTTTTTAGAGGAAATCTTGTAAGTATACCTCATGAGGGGAAGAAAAAAGATCCCTTTAAAAAAGTCCATGCTTTGTTTCCAGCACTGTAGATTCATTATTATTATTATTATTAGTGTATAATTGAGTTTGGTTTGTCTCAGATGTACGATCGAGCACTCAGTGCCCCATCCAGTCCCACTAAAGCCGACCCGTCGGGACGAAGAAGCTGGGAGGAGCCGAGCTGGCTGGGGTCATCACCACGGACACTGAACCGCGACATGAAACAGAACATCAGCCGCTCTCTACAGACGCTCCCCACCTCCTCCAGCTCCTTCAAGCCAGGTAATGAATCTATGGTGCCTTGCATAATTAACATCCTGTATGCAACAACCATGAAAAAATGTGCTTTTTTTTTTTTTACTTCCTGATGACCACAAACATTATGTTTTAGTTTTGTTCCATATTATTGAATTTCCTCTTTATAGATTTGAGGAGTTTTTTTTTTTAATCTATTTATTTTTTTGTTTTCATTCAAATTCTTAATTAATTTTTAATCATGGGCCATCATGGACACAGTTTTTCCTAGTTTATCTTATCCTAACCTGTATCCTTATTGCTTACCAGGCTTGTACATGTTGGAGTGTCTGCTCTACTTGCTCAGTGGGTATTTAAACCCTTCCTTAACTAATACACTGTAGGTTTCTGTAGACCCTTCATTTGTTTTATGGGCATTAGGGATATACATAATAATTTTGACTAGTTGGTGACATGTCTGAATGACTAGTCGTTGTTGAAGTAAGCATTGGAAATTTTCAAAATCATCCTCACTAATCATTTGTTTGTTGAATGACTAGTTCAGCATCCTGTGTCATCTATTCTCCAACATAGTCCAAGACTAGTCTCAATCTGTGTCTGGAAGACTAAAGATTGTGTTACTTTAGGCTGAGTGTTGTGATTAAGTAGAATTATTCTTCCAGGTTTTAACCTTTGGAAGTATGAGAATGTTTAAGTATGCTAAATTGATTGTCATAAGTATACTGTGTTTTCTTCTTTTGTTTAGATTGTTTACATCGTGTTATGGGCCGTGGTGGTGGCCGTCCTGGTAAGGCTGAACTCCAGAAGGCACGGATGCGCCTCTCGCTGCAGGAACACCTCTGGGCCTTCTTTCAAGAGCGAGTGGCGATCCCTTCAGAAGAGCAGGCCGTCGCTCGGCGTGCTGCGTTGGATATCTGTGCAGAGCTCAGAGTCTTTCTCCATGCTAAACTGCCTGATATGCCCCTACGAGAAATGTACCTGAGCGGAAGTCTATACGATGACCTTCAGGTGAGAACAAGTGTGATCAGTTCTGAGAGGGTTTTAATTGTCACATAAGCAGCAAGAGTATAGGGGAAACATGGCCTTTAATTGAAGTGCTTTTAATCTACAGTTTTGAGTTGGTAAGATTTTAAATATTGTTTAAGTTAAGTCTCTTCTGCTCACCAAGGCTGCATTTATTTATCAAAAATACATAAAAAGCTGTAATATTGTTCAAATATCATTACAGTTGAAAATAATTATTTTCTATTTTAATATACTTTAAAATGTTTTTTATTCCTGTGAATCAAAGCTGAATTTTCAGCATCATTGCTTCAGTCTTCAGTCACATGATCCTTCAGAAATCATTCTAATATGCTGATTTGCAGCTCAAGAAACATTTCTTATCAATGTTGAAAGCAGTTGTGCTGCTTAAAGGGGACATCAGATGCAAAATTCACTTCTACATGGTGGTTTGCATATAAATGTGTCTAAGCAGTGTGTGGACACAAACACCCTACTATGATAAAAATCCATTCACTCCTGTTTTTTAAACTCCAAAAAACCTAAACTGTCTCAATTATCAAGCCGTTTTGATTTTCTGATTTTCAAGCCCCGCCCACAACCACTGACGGACTGTCACGTATTAGCATATTTCCGTCCTCAGCAAGTTGTACCCTGTCCGCCATTTTCTGTGCGCTCAAGCAACTATAGCGACAACAATGTCTTGTTAGCAATGCAGGGGTTTTGACCCTAAAGAATCATACCAACTTGTGGAAAATGGGCATCCGATGTCCCCTTTAATATGTTTGTGGAATTCTATCAAGATTCTCTGATAAATAGAAAGTTCAATTTAGAAAGTTTATTTAAAAATAGAACTCTTTTGTAACATTTTATACGTCTTTACTCTCACATTTGTTCAATGTAATGCAAACCTTTGCGTAATTCATCCCTCAATATTTATTTTTCACATTTTTAGGTGGTAACTGCTGACCACGCCCAGCTGATGGTACCCATGATCCTTGAGAAGAATCTCTGGTCATCCATTCCTGGTGAGGACACCATCATGAACCTTCCTGGCTTCTGGCTGGTTCGTCGGGAAAACCTTGAGTACTTCCCACGAGGAAGCAGCTACTGGGACCGTTGCATGGTGGGTGGCTACCTTTCCCCAAAGAGCGTCCTAGAAGTTTTCGAGAAGCTCGTCGCCGGCTCCATCAACTGGCCCGCCATCGGTAGTGTTTTAGATTACATCATCCGACCCGTGGTCCCGTCGGAAACGCTTACGCTAGAAGTGCAGTACGAAACGGACCGTCGCCTTTATGTGGACTTCCTCCCATTGCTTGTTATGGAGGACGGCGTCTCGCTGATCGCCAAACCGCATCGATTGGCCGCCGAACGGCATGAGAACCTGTGGCGGCAGAGTTTTCGTGTGGCGGAAACGGCGAAGTTACGTGCGCTCGATCAGGAAGACGCCGGGTGCCGTTGCGCGTGTCTTAAAATCATTAAAGCCGTGTGTAAACTGAATCCAGCGCTGGCACGATTAAACGCAAGCCAGCTCACTAATGCAATCCTTCTCCTGAGCGAACAGGAGGGCGATTGGACTCAGGAAGCGCTCGCCGATCGTTTCATGCAGCTGCTTCGTGCATTAGTGGGACACCTAGAGGCTGGGAGGTTACCCTGCATCTTCAGTCTCAAAGTCAATCTGTTCTGTGAGCTAACACCACAGGAAATAGATGAACTGGGATACACACTATACTGTGCATTGTCTGACCCAGAGAGCCTTTTGAGAACTGTTTAGAAAACACGCATGCACATATGCCCACCACTTTTTGGTCCCCGCACAGAATTGAGTTGGCAATAATGGCAATGTTTTCATACGTGTCTTGTTCGGAGTAGATCAGGAACCTCAGTTGTTTTTGTCAGTCGTACCATCATAAGTTATTTTCAGGTTCTACAACCTCATCCGTTGGTCATATTTTATATGGCCGTCTTATATAATTTCAGTGTTTTTGACTTTTCTAATGCACAGTGAAGTATCATAACGATTATATATTTATCTAGTGAAGAATCAGATTGATTCGGTGATATTTTCTTATAGATTCAAGCACCGTCATCACTTATGTGTTTCTGTTGTTACCCAAACGGCGATGAGTATCTGGTGGTAATTTGACATGTTACATTTGATCTGTGAAATTCATGATTTTATGTTTCCCAGTTATTCGTTACGTGGAACATTGTTCAGTATTTTCTCCGATTTTGTTCTTGGATTCGTCAAAATACTTTCCTTTAGAAAAATATATGACACAGAGAGCCGTTTTAGATTAATCAGATGGCAGGGTCTCTGAATTATCTTTCAGTTACTAAATTTCCTGTGATCTTTTCAGAAATGCTTGCAACTCTGTGTGATTGTATAATTTAATTATTTTTAGTAAACCAACTTTCTGAAATATTAAATTATTGGAAGGCAAATGTAATTAAAACACAGTAAAAAAAATGCCTAAAATAACATAATCTTTTTCAGAGGATTTCTGTCCATTATTCAAAATCAGTTGCATAGTGATAATAATGTTTAAGAAAAAGATCATGTTTATTTGATCGTGTTTCTCCCCCATATTTCCATCTTTCTTGTCAGTTTGTGACATTAAAATATGCGATGTCCCCTTTAATATGTTTGTGGAATTCTATCAAGATTCTCTGATAAATAGAAAGTTCAATTTAGAAAGTTTATTTAAAAATAGAACTCTTTTGTAACATTTTATACGTCTTTACTCTCACATTTGTTCAATGTAATGCAAACCTTTGCGTAATTCATCCCTCAATATTTATTTTTCACATTTTTAGGTGGTAACTGCTGACCACGCCCAGCTGATGGTACCCATGATCCTTGAGAAGAATCTCTGGTCATCCATTCCTGGTGAGGACACCATCATGAACCTTCCTGGCTTCTGGCTGGTTCGTCGGGAAAACCTTGAGTACTTCCCACGAGGAAGCAGCTACTGGGACCGTTGCATGGTGGGTGGCTACCTTTCCCCAAAGAGCGTCCTAGAAGTTTTCGAGAAGCTTGTCGCTGGCTCCATCAACTGGCCCGCCATCGGTAGTGTTTTAGATTACATCATCCGACCCGTGGTCCCGTCGGAAACGCTTACGCTAGAAGTGCAGTACGAAACGGACCGTCGCCTTTATGTGGACTTCCTCCCATTGCTTGTTATGGAGGACGGCGTCTCGCTGATCGCCAAACCGCATCGATTGGCCGCCGAACGGCATGAGAACCTGTGGCGGCAGAGTTTTCGTGTGGCGGAAACGGCGAAGTTACGTGCGCTCGATCAGGAAGACGCCGGGTGCCGTTGCGCGTGTCTTAAAATCATTAAAGCCGTGTGTAAACTGAATCCAGCGCTGGCACGATTAAACGCAAGCCAGCTCACTAATGCAATCCTTCTCCTGAGCGAACAGGAGGGCGATTGGACTCAGGAAGCGCTCGCCGATCGTTTCATGCAGCTGCTTCGTGCATTAGTGGGACACCTAGAGGCTGGGAGGTTACCCTGCATCTTCAGTCTCAAAGTCAATCTGTTCTGTGAGCTAACACCACAGGAAATAGATGAACTGGGATACACACTATACTGTGCATTGTCTGACCCAGAGAGCCTTTTGAGAACTGTTTAGAAAACACGCATGCACATATGCCCACCACTTTTTGGTCCCCGCACAGAATTGAGTTGGCAATAATGGCAATGTTTTCATACGTGTCTTGTTCGGAGTAGATCAGGAACCTCAATTGTTTTTGTCAGTCGTACCATCATAAGTTATTTTCAGGTTCTACAACCTCATCCGTTGGTCATATTTTATATGGCCGTCTTATATAATTTCAGTGTTTTTGACTTTTCTAATGCACAGTGAAGTATCATAACGATTATATATTTATCTAGTGAAGAATCAGATTGATTCGGTGATATTTTCTTATAGATTCAAGCACCGTCATCACTTATGTGTTTCTGTTGTTACCCAAACGGCGATGAGTATCTGGTGGTAATTTGACATGTTACATTTGATCTGTGAAATTCATGATTTTATGTTTCCCAGTTATTCGTTACGTGGAACATTGTTCAGTATTTTCTCCGATTTTGTTCTTGGATTCGTCAAAATACTTTCCTTTAGAAAAATATATGACACAGAGAGCCGTTTTAGATTAATCAGATGGCAGGGTCTCTGAATTATCTTTCAGTTACTAAATTTCCTGTGATCTTTTCAGAAATGCTTGCAACTCTGTGTGATTGTATAATTTAATTATTTTTAGTAAACCAACTTTCTGAAATATAAAATTATTGGAAGGCAAATGTAATTAAAACACAGTAAAAAAAATGCCTAAAATAACATAATCTTTTTCAGAGGATTTCTGTCCATTATTCAAAATCAGTTGCATAGTGATAATAATGTTTAAGAAAAAGATCATGTTTATTTGATCGTGTTTCTCCCCCATATTTCCATCTTTCTTGTCAGTTTGTGACATTAAAATATGCAAATAACCTATTTTACCTAATTGCTTATTTTCAGTTACTTTATCCTGTAAAAGCAACTCAGAAATGTTGAATGGATATGATGTTATTTAAATGGTCGACACGGGTTATTACCACACTGCTGAAACCAGATGAAGATAAATACCTGAATTAATAATCAAAACACATCTTTAGAATGGCTAAACAAAGAGCAGATGTGATTTTTATTGTATTACAGCTGCTTAATAAACCAAGGAAACCTTTGCAGACCTCCTTAAAGCTATAGAATCGTTTAAAAACATGGTTTACTTTTTTGAGGCTGTGGGTTATAAGGAAGGGGAACTGAAATGATGTACAAGAGCCTAAAAAAACAGACTTCATAGAGACATTTTAGTATTTTTGTATTGATTGTACAGATGTAACCAAAAACCAGTGTGAAACTATTTTTGTGTATCTTATGATCATTCTTTGTGCTTAAGAGAGTGACATTTGCTAGAACAAAATATACAATAGGCTTCGTCTCCGATATGAAATGCCAAAACTCGCAGGAGATCTTGCGTTTATGTATTGAAGCATTTATTTTACTTGCGTAACCAGAACACATGTGTCTACCTGTGTGCTGTAGCAGAAACACATTTACCTGGCGAATGATGGGAAAGGGCAGCACCGAATCCAAAAGTAGTGCAGTTCAGCTTGGCCTAGTACTTTGCATGTGATGCTTGTGTACTCGTTTCTTCATTTCCTGGTGATTTGTATTTTTATTAAACAGCAATTTGTATTATTTGTTCTGTGCCTCGGGTCTCTGTGCTGCAATACAGAGCCAAGGATGAAAATAAAGTCGAATGGATTGAAACTGTATTATAACATTATTGTGAATTATTTGTGCAAGTCGCTGACATAGGCCAATGTTTGGGGTCAGATTTTTTTTTTTTTTAAAGAAATTTATACTTTTATCAAGCAAGGCTGCATTGAAAAATTACAAACTTTTAAATGGTAGTTGAATTAGCATTATTTTCATGACTTTGAATGACTTTGAAATTAGATCTGTGCTCAAGGCAAATCAAATTAACCTCAGTGGTATGACAGAATTTCAGCCAAAGGTAAATATTGATATGTTAAATGTAATGTGCTAAACTGACTCTAGAGGTCATGTGATGGACATTTTGGATCATCACAGGAAACAGAAGATGACTAACACTATCACAGTATGCAGGAACTAACCAATGCCTTGTTTCTGTTGGGCTAGAGATGCAGTCAACCAATCAAATCAACTGCTTACAAATTACAAAATAGAAAAAGTGGAAAACCACTATCAGTTGAGCAGTTTAGACAAAAAAATCTTTCAAAGTAAATTCAACTATAGACAGCAGAGCACAAACCAAACAAGCAACTACAAACAAAACTTTATTTAACTTCAGGTTTGGAAGAACTTTTGCTGCGATTTTGAGTTAAATGATCAGACAATAAAGAAACCAAGTAGTCTTGATCAGCTTTAACAGAAATACAATTCATTTCAGTGTGATAAATTGAGTATGATACACCAACATTATCAAAATGGTTTACACACGCATACAAAAGTCAACTGACAAAAAATTCCAACACATGAATGCCACAAATCCAAAGTACTATTCATCTACCAGCAATTTATTCAATCTTTATTAAATTTTCTACAAAGATAATTAATAGCTTAATTATAAACTAAAAATGCATAGTTTTTTCATTCATCTATTGAAACAAGCAAGGCTTCAAGGGGAAGTACAGAGCATCCCTAGCTCAACAAGTTTGTCTATTTCTTCTTTTTCAGTTTTGCTTTGAGTTTAATACTTGGAAAAACATGTCCCGTAACTCAGGCATTTGTTGATTTTCTTACATTGCATATTTCAAATTGTAAAAGACTTACCAACTTCAACCAGTGGTTTCTGTACTACTAATGGCCCATTAGGTCCAGTACAATACAATGTGATTTTTATCACTCTTTTCATTTAGCAGGAGCAAAGCCCACACGGTCTGCCTCCCTGTCAAACACAGTGTAGTAGCGGCCAATGAACACATCTCCCAGAATCCACAGCGGCCCGGCAGGGGGTGGGATATCCATTGCCATAAAGCCAGACAGACAAACACTCACACCCATGTGAGTCATCTGAGAAAAGATAGAAGTGAGTTAAGATTGATTTAAAGTGTTCAATGAATCAATGCTGCATTCATTTCCAAAGCAGTTTTAATCAACGTGCTGAGATTTGATTAGATTCCAAACATAAAAGCAACAGAAATTTTTATTTATTTTACATTTTTCTTTTTTTTCGGTGTACAATAAAAAGAAAATCATCCTATGCAATGTGGTCCTTGAGTTCAACCAAACATGAAGATTTGCTGAATTTTTACTCGCACTCAGGCCAACCAAGACAAGTTTTTCTTCATTGGAACGGATTTGGAGAAATGTAGCATTACATCACTTGCTCACCAATGGGTCCTCTGCAGTGAATGGGTGCCGTCAGAATGAGTACAAACAGCTGATAAAAACATCACAATAATCCACAAGTAACCCACACCACTCCAGTCCATCAATTAACTTTTTGTGAAGTGAAAAGCTGCATGTTTAAAGTTCATGTTGGATTGGTTTCTTTTAAACATGCAGCTTTTCACTTTAATTGTTGGACTAGAGTTACTGGTGGATTATTGTGATGTTTTTATCAGCTGTTTGGACTCTCATTCTGACGGCACCCATTCACTGAAGAGGATCATTTTTTCTTTTCTTTTTTTGGTGACTTATTTTTTTAAATGGATGGAGGCAGGCATGTATGAAGGTGAAGAAAATGTATCCCAAACCCTTACACAATATCTAACATTAACTTCTATTTATTCAAACATTCACATACTAATTGAGCAACTTATTCTTCCAAAAAGGTGACTTCATATACACACACAAAAAAGCATCTTTTAGCCACCAACTTAATCTTTCACGTCAAGGAATAAGGTAATTTATTCCATGAAATTGCACTTCTATGTAAAAAGGACTTTGTATGTTCAACATAACGTTGTATGTTCCTCTGTAACGTCCCTTTCCAACCTCTACAGAGTAAGAGGAAAAACCACACCAGATTCTGTAAAGAGGGGGACGACGCACCTTCAGAACATAGTCCTCTCCAGTTAAGTTGAACATCTTCCCTCCCAGGCTGATGGAAACAACAGGAAGTGATGGAATCCTCTTACAGTCAATCCAGTACTACAAAAGAGGAAATGCTCACTTTACAACTTCCTCAATTTATGCTGGAAATACATGGCAATGAAAGTGTCAGCAAATTAAAATGAAATGAATGATTTATAAATAAAGAACAAATAACCATTATAAATGATTTAATGTATACGTTTTGATGAAGATATATTTTTAGCAGGAATGCTCCTCACCTCTCCCAAGAGCAGTGGTATGGCTCCGATGGCTTTCTGAAGCGCCCGCACCTCTTGAACCGGCCCCGTGATCATTGATGTTCCTGTGTCAACAATTGCCTGGCATCCATTTTTGCAGAGGGTAAGCGTGCCACCCACCTGAACTCTGTTGGAAAACAACCAATATAAGCAAGAAGTCGTTTATTAGCCAGTTTGCAGCCATCATAAACACTGACTGCAGCAAAAAAAAACATTCTAGTAAACCAATATTAATCTGGCTAAAAACCAACATGGCTTGTATAGTAATGGTGATCACATACTCATCCATCTTTATCTGCCAGTAGGCTTTTCGTGTGATGTTGACGTAATGCAGATCACCGTCAAAATACTGCTGGTCAAAACCTCCCAGCATCAGCTCACCTCCAACTTCACCCACGGGGTCCCTACACATACACACAACATTTATTAACAAGAATTAGCATGTGCATTAAGCCACTGCGATGACAGTCCCTACAACGCAAGTGATTTTAAAATGTTACGCATCTCGGTCCCCAAAATGTAGGCAAAGCCTGACCCACATGTGCACGTTTTAGTCATGAATCATTCAGTTAGTAAAAGAGGCTTTTTATACAGACAGAACAATTGACTATAGTGTGATAAATTGGCTGTAACATGCACATGCGCTTTGAAAAGCAAGAAAGGGGCGGCACTGCTCTGCAAGCAGTAATAGGCGTCATGCGTTATCGTTTAACACAAGAATAAATACAATTCTTTCATGCTGAAGGTCACACTATCAGTCTACATTTGTAGCCACATTCTTCACCATTATAAAACTGAAATGGAGAAGAAAAGAGCCTCAGGTAAGGGAAACAATGTTGTTAACTTTCCAAACTCTCCCATGTCAATATTAAATGTCCACCAAGTTGCTAAACAATTTGAAAAACCAGTCAAATGAACCTTGAAATGAGCAAAAAAAAAGAGGCTTACCGGTTGATATAAAAAGAGAAGATATTCTGAGGCAGGATTTTGGCAGCCATGGCTGTGTCAAACACCGGCGTAACCCCATCTACAGAAATGGCGGGGTATGCCATGCCCAGGATGCCATCAAAACGTGCCACCGCAAACACAATCCCAGGCTGTTTAACAGCCTCGGCAAACTGCTGGTTTGGCACCTTCAGCCCTGCCAACTACAGACAGATACAAATGTGAGAGTTTTTGGGCATGTCGATGCCTCAAACAGTGTGCTTATGGTTAACTAAAACTATTAAAACTATACTTTCTAAACCGTTAGATATTTAAAACTGGGCATCATACACTAAATGACTGAGGATCATATAAAATAAAATAAAATAAATAAATAAAACAAATATATAAATAAAAGAAAAGAAAATAATTAATAGGCTTAATAATAATAATAATAAAATTCAGAGTCTGTGCCCATCATACACTACATGATTTTCTGTGAAATCTGTCAACTCTGAAGGCCAGAAATTATCCAGAATGGCTCTGAACTTTAGCAACTATAATCAACTCTTCCTTGACTTTAAATCAGGGCAAAAATCTACAAAAAATCTGTGCAGTGTATTCCTGCATTAAGTTAAAGTACTTAAATTCTTAAAACTAAAACTGAAGACAGACAGACAGACAGACAGACAGAGATAGATAGACAGACAGAGATATATAGATAGATAGATAGACAGACAGACAGAGACAGAGATAGATAAATAGACACAAGACAGACAGAGATAGACAGACGGATAGATAGACACAGACAGACAGAGATAGACAGATAGACACAGAGAGATAGACAGACAGAGACAGATAGATAGACACAGACAGATAGACACAGAGAGACAGAGATAGACAGACAGACAGAGATAGATAGATAGACAGATAGACACAGAGAGACAGAGATAGACAGACAGACAGAGATAGATAGATAGACAGATAGACACAGAGAGACAGAGATAGACAGACAGACAGAGATAGATAGATAGACAGATAGACACAGAGAGACAGAGATAGACAGACAGACAGAGATAGATAGATAGACAGATAGACACAGAGAGACAGAGATAGACAGACAGACAGAGATAGATAGATAGACAGATAGACACAGAGAGACAGAGATAGACAGACAGACAGAGATAGATAGATAGACAGATAGACACAGAGAGACAGAGATAGACAGACAGACAGAGATAGATAGATAGACAGATAGACACAGAGAGACAGAGATAGACAGACAGACAGAGATAGATAGATAGACAGATAGACACAGAGAGACAGAGATAGACAGACAGACAGAGATAGATAGATAGACAGATAGACACAGAGAGACAGAGATAGACAGACAGACAGAGATAGATAGATAGACAGATAGACACAGAGAGACAGAGATAGACAGACAGACAGAGATAGATAGATAGACAGATAGACACAGAGAGACAGAGATAGACAGACAGACAGAGATAGATAGATAGACAGATAGACACAGAGAGACAGAGATAGACAGACAGACAGAGATAGATAGATAGACAGATAGACACAGAGAGACAGAGATAGACAGACAGAGAGATAGATAGATAGACAGACAGACAGAGACAGATAGATAGACACAGACAGACAGAGATAGACAGATAGACACAGAGAGATAGACAGACAGAGACAGATAGACACAGACAGACAGAGATAGACAGATAGACACAGAGAGACAGAGATAGACAGACAGACAGAGATAGATAGATAGACACAGACAGACAGACAGAGACATAGACAGACAGACAGACAGAGACAGATAGATAGACAGACAGAGACAGAGATAGATAGATAGACACAGATAGACACAGAGACAGAGAGATAGACACAAATAAATGTTCACATGTTATAATTTGTTACAGTTTAATACTTCTAAGATGTTATAATATTCCATTATATTACTGTGATGTTCATTTACTTATTGTTATTATATTATTATTTTTTATCTTTTTGTACATGTATACTAAGCTTTGGCAATATTGTATCATTTACAGTCATGCCAATAAAGCAATTTTGAATTGAATTGAATTGATAGACACAGACAGACAGAGACAGAGATAGACACAGACACGACAGACAGAGACATAGACAGACAGACAGACAGAGACAGATAGATAGACAGACAGAGACAGAGATAGATAGATAGACACAGATAGACACAGAGACAGAGAGATAGACACAAATAAATGTTCACATGTTATAATGAGATAGATAGATAGACACAGACAGACAGAGACAGAGATAGACACAGACAGACAGAGATAGACATATAGACAGACAGACAGAGACAGAGATAGATTAATAGACACAGACAGACAGAGACAGAGATAGACAGACAGAGACAGAGATAGATAGATAGACAGACAGAGACAGAGATAGACAGATAGACACAGAGAGACAGAGATAGACAGACAGACAGAGACAGATAGATAGACACAGACAGACAGAGACAGAGATAGACACAGAGAGACAAAGATAGACAGAGACAGAGATAGATAGATAGACACAGACAGACAGAGATAGACAGATAGACACAGACAGACAGACAGAGATAAGACATATAGACAGACAGACAGAGACAGAGATAGATTAATAGACACAGACAGACAGAGATAGACAGACAGACAGACAGAATTTAAAAATCTAATAAAATGACAAATGCACATAATAAAATTACTAATATAAAAATAAAATCCAATTCAAAAATGAATCAATAATAGTATATGAATAATACTAAAACAACGCTAGCTTCAGCAACATTAATGTTTCCTTTTTAAAAGCTCACACAAAGCTACTGGATTTTTCTAGAGGCCTGTGATATAGTATATAGTCACTTTTACGGTGCTTTTACAGCTCTCGTGATCAGTTCCTTTAGTCTTTACTCACAGTGACTGTATCCTGACTGATGAAGCCAGAGAGACTCCCACTGCCGTAGCGGATCGAGAACTCCGTGCCATTCTGAACATACGTGCTTGACTTCTTAGAGTTGTAGCGATGGTGCAACCCTGAGAGACAGCCAGAGTAAGAAATTTAATAATGAAAAAAATCAATACATATCAAAACAATGACCCAAAACATCCCTCACAGCATGCAATGTCCAAGAAGGAGCAATGGATAGATGGAACCCAGAGGTTGGACGATCCGGTGTCAAACAGCACAGTGAAGTCCTGAGGAGGGGTGCCAATACTGATCACTCCAAAATACTGAGCCTAAAATGGGAGAAAGGACAGCCTGACGACTTATATTTTCCTCATGCAAGAACCAAATGCATAATCAGTGCACACATTATTGAAGTCCTGAGGAGGGGTGCCAATACTGATCACTCCAAAATACTGAGCCTAAAATGGGAGAAAGGACAGCCTGACGACTTATATTCCTCATGCAAGAACCAAATGCATAATCAGTGCACACATGAGCTTACATCCATGAAGTTGGTGAGTTTCTCAATAGGTGGTGGCAGTTTTGTTGGTGATGGTGAATGTGTTGTGGACGGCAATGAAAATCTGACTTTGGAGATTTTCTCTCTGGCCATGGATTTGATCTCGTCAATAGTCCTCCCATTCTCTGCCAGCATACGGCGCACAGTGCGCATCTTGTGCAGAGGAATCCTAGAGATACAACAGTGATAAAGCAATAAAACACCTGCGTCGAGTAGTGCATCACATCTATAAAACTGTGGCCATCATAAAACGACACCAATGTTCAAACAAGGCATTTAATGAATAATCCGAACTAGATTTGTAAGTTTTCCGAAGAAAATGTGACTTGGTGTTGCTATGGCTTAACGTCTTGTTTTTCTTCTGGACAATCATTTGTTTAGATTGCAGCACCATTATATGGTTATTTTGCCCAGACTTGTCTATTATTGTGGTTTATTAATACATTTTATATAACCCCGCCCCTAATCGTTACGTATAAACAAAGCGAACTGTGATTGGTCGCTTTAGAGTGGGCGGTTCTTGACCTGCAGTATCGACCGCAAGTCCACAACCTAATAAATTTGCACAGTGACTAGTGAGCTGTTACATTGTATCATTGCGAGGTGGAAATGTATAAAATAACCGTGCTGATCACAAAGCGTTTAGATGGGTTTGTGAACGGTTTCATTAAAAAGATCCGACATCGACGTCAAATTACAACGCTGACTTTATAAGCAACGAAATTGTCGAAACTGAATGTCAGCTCCTATTATGAATAAGCGTTTAAGTTGTTCGCCTCTCTCGTTTTCATTGTAGATGCAGGTTTACACAATGTCGCACCTCAACCACAGCAGTTCACAGCATGTAACTGAACACGGTCATGCGAGTTCAACTTCCTGATCCAAAACATCAGTTGATGCTGTATCAGACATTTACACAAAACGTCCTAAGCAGCACTGTTTATAGCAGCTAGATTCATATTATAAAACGTAATGCATTGGATTGTTGTTTGAAGACTGTATTTATCCTAATACAGATAAACTTGGTGATTAATATAGTGAAAGTTAATGTGCAAAGTCATAATGGGGCTGTTTTTAATAAGCAAAAAGATTCATAATCAAATATGTAAATATGTTCACATAAAACGCGCTTACATCGATAAGAGAATTGATGCAATTACCTGATTATTGCTTGGCTGTCCGCAATTAACAGCCAAATCAAAAACGCGAACAGGTGAAAGCGATTCATTCTCTGCTCTTTAAAAGAAATAAATTGGGTTTACTTCTGATCTGATACAAAATTCAGACTTGCAGAAGCAATTCTGAGGTATGACTTCCACCGCCGTCCCTTGTGCGCAACAGAAGGGGGAGGGGGGTGTTCCGTTCTCCTTTAACCTGATTGGCTAGCAGCACTGATGTACCGCTACGATTGGCTAGAGAACATATCAATCAAGTTGAATTTCACGCCCCCGCCTCCTGACTGCTTATTACTGGTTTTGTTGCGTTTGTGTTAGTGAATTTTAAATTTGCTTTGTTGAAAAGCACCACGGCTTCCAAATGAACACAGAGAGTTAACTTCAACCAACAATAAATAAATAGTAAATAATAATAATAAAGAAATATCCTTCCTCTTTTGAACCGTTTGAAACTGTTGGGGAAATAAATTGCAATACGCAAAATATGAAGTGAAGTAACCAGCAAAACCTAAACTTCTCTAAACATCTAAATATTCGGTTTTCTCACTTAGGTGTACAAATGATACTTTTGATGTCACATTATAAACATCTGCATTTTGCTTTCGTTTTAAAATCTTAGGCTTGACTTGTTAGCATGGATATTATGGCCCCTGCTGGTAGATGCCAAAACTGCACCCATACGGATAACCAGCATCCATCTCCTGACTGTCATTCAAAAATAGCCATGTATTCTAATGGAATAAAAAATGCAAGCAACTTCGTAAAGTGATGGATATGCAGCCTATGAATGGTGTAGTGAAACTGGTTTAAAAATTGTACTGTAAAATACTGTAAAAAAAATTATATTTTTTAACGGTTTGTGATGTTTTGGAATCAGATTTTTTCACTATGGCTGTATCTTGACGGTTGTGTGTCCCAAGGGGCTCCAGGTAAAGGACGAGGTAGAGGACTGTTACCCGACTGGTCCTGAAAAATTCACGGGTCGTGTTTGGGTCGGGCTCGTGCCCAGTCCAGCCCTTCAGTCAACACGTGTTTTTGGTTTAACGCAAGGAAAAGTACACTTTTAGATGAACAAGGCGACATAATGGATGACACTTGCAGATTTAGAAAAATACAAGTTCTTCATATGACCCACAGGATTGCTTGTAATAAAGATTTAAATACAATAGGAAAAGCACTAAAGTCATTTGTTTCTGTTAAATTTTAATTTAAAATGTTCGTGATAGGGGAGACCGGTGGCAGTTGTACCATTTTTTACATTTTCCTTCGTAACTCACAGACTTCTTGAAATACACTAGTCATCTTTTGATACAAGAAACAAATATAGGTGCACTAATAATGCAATTGATACATTTTCAATTGTAACACTGAAAAATAAGTCATATTAACCCACTGTATCTCAAATAAAAACTTACCTCAAAGTAATCACTTTAATGATATAATAATGCTACTATTTTTATATGGTTCAAATTCAGCAGCATGCACGGTGGAGGCAATGGATGGTACTTACACTGGGCCATGTGGCTCAGGGGAAGTTGTAACACAATGTGACAAACACACGTTATAAAGTCGTCGCCTTGGAATTATAAGGTTCTATCTGACATTTTTGTCAAAATGGAGTTATTCACATTATTCTGTGACATCTTATTTACATTAGCCTATGTGATGTTTCTTTTGTAAGCTGTGTACATTTTGGGCCTTTTTTTTTAGAAAACAAAAAGGGTTCTATCTACAGAAGTCTATGGAATGCAAAAACATTGAAGCTCAATATTTCAAAACTGCTCAGAATGCAGACAGAACCTTATAATTCCAAGGGGTCGAAGTGGCACCGCTGCATTGCAGTTGATGGTTTTAAGGCAAGTAGCTTGCTATTTAAACGGGAGAAATTGAAAGAAATGTATTTGTTCTGTGAGGTCAACGCCGACCGGCAGCATATACTGGCATCTACAGGCGGGGCCATTCTTCTCTCATTCACATCAGCGGGTCAGGTGATAACACAAGTTGCTGCGGGCGAGAAGGGAAGGCGCAGATGATTTTCAGCCTAACGGCTAAATGTTTAGTTGTAATATTAAACAAACTTGCAACGAAAAGTAACACACTTGCGAGATCAAGATTTTTCCCCCCAGAATTTCCAGTTCTGGGATTATATATAGCTTAAACTCCTAACAGAGGTGAGTTGTCATTTCTTTCATTATCTTTTTTTGCAGTCAAGTCAAGTCAAGTCACCTTTATTTATATAGCGCTTTTTCGTCGCCTTGGAATTATAAGGTTCTATCTGACATTTTTGTCAAAATGGAGTTATTCACATTATTCTGTGACATCTTATTTACATTAGCCTATGTGATGTTTCTTTTGTAAGCTGTGTACATTTTGGGCCTTTTTTTTTAGAAAACAAAAAGGGTTCTATCTACAGAAGTCTATGGAATGCAAAAACATTGAAGCTCAATATTTCAAAACTGCTCAGAATGCAGACAGAACCTTATAATTCCAAGGGGTCGAAGTGGCACCGCTGCATTGCAGTTGATGGTTTTAAGGCAAGTAGCTTGCTATTTAAACGGGAGAAATTGAAAGAAATGTATTTGTTCTGTGAGGTCAACGCCGACCGGCAGCATATACTGGCATCTACAGGCGGGGCCATTCTTCTCTCATTCACATCAGCGGGTCAGGTGATAACACAAGTTGCTGCGGGCGAGAAGGGAAGGCGCAGATGATTTTCAGCCTAACGGCTAAATGTTTAGTTGTAATATTAAACAAACTTGCAACGAAAACTCTGACCAGACAAAACCAGCAGTTCAATTTCAGAAACAATAGTTTACATTCAGCTCAGTAATATTAAGGGTTTTCATCCCTACTCTGATCAAGTTAAGTTCTGCATAATGAAACCGTCTGAATGAGCATATTTGTAAGATTTAAAAATGGAAATGAGTAAAATACTTCTTTGTCTTTCTCCATTCATGCACTAAAGTTTGGAGCCCTGTGAAATGTGGTACCGCTGTGTTAATTGTGTTAAGGGCAGGATGGGATCAGAGGTCATAATGCAAGAATTTACCTATGGTGTTTAAAGACATAAGTATTATGTTGTGTTTGGTTTGAAATAGGAATGCAATCTTTAAATGGACTGTAACAATAATTGTTCTCATGTTAATTTTGTTTATGCTACTGTTCAAAAGGGTTAACATGAACAATGTGGATGTTTCTTTTCTCTCATGGTATTTCTGAGATTCTGTCATGTGACACTGAAGACTGGAGTACTGTTGCTGAAAATTCATTGCATCACAGGAATATATTACATTTAAAATTGATTCAAACAAAAAAAATTAAAAGAGTATTACTCTTTTAACTGCATTTTTGATCAGATAACTGAAGGCAAGCCTTGGCAAGCATAAATTGCTTATTCTATGAAACATTATATACTGTATATATATTATATATACTGACTCCAAACGTTGTATTTTTTATTTATTTTTATTACTTTTTATTATTTTCATGTACATATAAATGGACATGCTAACATTTTTTACACATGAAAGAATAGGCCTACTGTGCCTGTTTAGAAAATATAAAACTAAGCAAAAAAAAAAAAAAAAAAAAAAAAAAAAAAAAAAAAAAAAAAAAAACAGTCTTAAGGTCTTTGTTAATAATCAGTTTCCTTTGTATCGCTTCAGTTGGAGGAGGTCGGCACCATGAGGCTGATAGTAGCACGTCTGCTTCTGTTCTTAATAACCTCTGTTCCTGCGGGTCAGACTGCGAAATGCCCGCGCGTCTGCGTCTGCGACAACACAAAGCTCACTGTGACGTGTGTAGGGAAGAATCTCACACATATTCCTCCTACTATAAACGAGGTGAGTGTGACTTTCCACATCCAGTACAGAACACCACACAAAAATCATCATGCTTGTGTCTTAATATCATGATCATAGTTTAATGTCTGATGCCTCTGAAGTTTGCTTTTGTATCCAGATTGTGCATGGCGTGCACCATCAAACAACAAACGATGCATGACACTATAACAGACTGATTCAAACAGATTCTCATTTAATATTGTGCCTTCCTGAACTTCCTTCCTAATGGGTAACATTTGGTATGCAGGGTTAATAACACCTCTAATGCCTTTCAAAATAACCTGACTAACTTATAGGATCTGTTAGCATTATTATGAGCATGTGGATCAACATACAGTACTCATATGCAGTATTTGCAATGGCTTTCATCTCAGATCACAGTGAAATTGGACCTGAAGAGGAATAATCTTGGGGAACTGCCTAAAAATGGGTTCAAACACACACCCTACCTGACCCACCTGAACCTGCAGGGATGCAGTATCCAGTCCGTCAGAGAGGGGGCGCTCCGGGGACTTTCACGTTTGGTGCAGCTTGACCTCACTAGCAACCATATTGACATCCTCTACCAGGTGTTTTCTTTGAGATGTGGAAGTGTGTTCATTTTAGATGAATGGAGGTCAAATCATTCTAAAGCTGATGGTTTGACATGTGTCTGTGTTTTTAGCTATGTTGTTATTGTCTCCCCACCTGTAGGAATCGTTTGACGGTTTATCATCACTGAAGCAGTTGTATTTAGACCGGAACCGCATTGAAGAGATCCACCCTGGAGCGTTTGCTGCGTTAAACTCTGTAAACCTGCTCTCCCTCACTCATAACCAGCTAGTCTACCTCCCCAACATGGCATTTCAGGTACACTACCGATCAGCAATTTGGGATGCATTAAATTGAGTAAAAGTGACAGTGAAGACATTTGAAATGTTGCAAAGTATTCCTGTTTCAATTAAATGCTGTTCTTTTATGCATTCTTTTATTCAACATAACAGTTTCCACAGAAAATTATAAGCAGCCGTGTTCAACATCGATAATAATAAGAAATGTTTTTTGAGCAGCAAATCATCAACTTAGAATGATTTCTGAAGGATCTTGTGAGACTGAAGACTGGAGTAATGATGCTGAAAATTCAGCTTTGACATCACAGGAATAAAATCTATTTTAAAGGGTTCATATGATGCTATTTTAAAGATAATTATTTTGTGTATTTGGTGTAACAGAATATGTTAACATGCTTTAATATTAAAAAAACACATTATTTTTCAAATACTGTACATTATTGTAGGTCCTCTATGCCCCACCTCTCTCAAACACGTAGTTTTCAACAAAGCCCCCCCCTTTGACAAGCGCAGTCTGCTCTGATTGGCCAGCTGACCCAGTGCATTGTGATTGGCCGAACACCGCAAGCACTCGTCGGAAATGTAATGCCCCTTACCATAATCGCGAGCTTCAGCTTTCAAAGTAAATATCAAGACAGTTAATAATGTCGTTAGTTTTACCATCAGTTCAAACTCGAAAGGGCAACAGAGTCGATTGACAGACACAGTGATGATGCAGTACACAAGCCAGCTGAAGTGCTATGATTTCTGACAGGCAGTTCACTCTCCTGGACTCTTAACTTTTATAAAGAATATCTCTTTGGATTTGAGACTTTAGTCTTTGCAACTTTACAGATCTTCTTTATGCACCAAGAGCTTGTAACACTCCAAAGAGAAAGGAAAAATTGAAATCGCATCATATGACCCCTTTAAAATAAATTACAATTGAAAACAGTTATTTTAAATTGCGACATTATTTCACGATATTACTATTTTTACTGTATTTTTGATCAAACAACTGCAGCCTTGTTGAGCATAAGAGACTTGTTTCAAAAACATGAACAAATCTTACCAACCTCATACTTTCAATTGAGACTATATATCGTTTTTTTCTCTCAAAGAGTCCCATTGCTTTATGTTATAATCTTTCCAATCTGAGTTTACACTGATTTTGTTGGATGGTTTGTGTGATAATCTTCTGTTAGACCTTTTTGATATGGATAATTTTCCTCCTGAGTAATTCCCAATGATCTGTCTCTCAGGGAATGCTGAATATCCAGTGGTTGCGTTTGAGTCATAACTCTCTAAATAATCTGGCGACGGAAGCCTTTGCTGGTCTTCTTGCACTCACACACTTAAACCTGGACCATAATGAACTCCAATACTTTCCTACCAAAACTATGACCAGGTAGCGACTGATTTTTGACAAACAAAATGAATTATTGTTGATTTTAGATATCCTCTGGTATAAAGCAGACATTCAGAACTCACTGTTGTCTTTTTTTTTTTGTCTCAGATTGGTGGAGTTGACTCACCTGGATATGAGTTTTAACCCCATGACATATCTGGTGGAGGAGAGTGTGTCCATGCCGAAACTCACACATCTGTCTCTGCACCACATGGCCCTGCAGGACCTGTCTGAATCAGCTCTGTCTCTGTCCCCTCATATCTCTCACCTAGATCTGAGCTACAACCAGCTCCCTTACATACAGGCCCTCGAAATGTCCTCGCAGCTCACCAGCCTTAACCTCACCGGTAATCATGAATACAGCATTGCCCACTGTCTCAGTATTTAGTTTGTTACAACACTAACCTTTCAGCCAGTATAATTACTTTCACAACAAACTTTGCAACTATAATTATGTTTAATTATCTTTTATATATAAATTATATGCGTTTTTATATTAGAAATGTCATTTAATAACAACAAAAACAACAACAAGAACAGTAATAATAGCTGAATTATCATTCATATGAATTATTATTACTATTATTATTTAATATTACATTATATTTGTTCAGCTTATAAAAATATTAGTATATAACTGAATTATAAAGAAATAATAATAATATAATGGAAGTATCAACAACAACAACAACAATAAAAACAATTGTTGTTCATATGAATCATAATTATAATTATTTTCTAAGTTTCAGTAGGACAGTTGAGCAGTAGTTCATTAGAAATTATATTTAAGCCAATAAAATCTAACAACAACAATAATAAAAATCTTTCTTTCCTTCATTCATTGGCATTTCTAATGAACCACTTTCCATTCCTCCCCTACTGAAGCTTTAGGAAAACTTTGGATTAAAAAAAAACAAACAAATTCTGTAAAGATCAATGATTATTTATGAACATTTTAGTTAGTTACTAATTCTTAAAGTTATTTAAGTTGAATTAAGAGTATTCATTTTATTCTAAAATTGTCTTACATTGTCATACATTCTCTTCACATTTCTCTCCATTTAAACTTAATTTAAAATATCTCAAAATCAAACTGTGAAGTGATAGCTTTCATTCACTGTCCTTCAGGGAACCCGATCAGATGTACATGTTTACTGCAAGGGCTGAAGATGTGGGCGCTGAGCTCAGGAATCAAGCTCTATGGGGCCTGTGCTTGGCCGCCACACCTCTCAGACGAACCTCTACAAAATGTTCAAGAACAGGACCTCCGCTGCAGACCACATGATGAGCTGAGGCCGGATGTGATAGAAAAAGAAGGAAAAGAAGAAGATGGAGTGCAAGAAAAGGCTGTGCCAACTGCCAAGCCAAAGAAAAAGAGCAAATGCCCAAAGAATTGCCATTGTGAGGTGAGAAAGGCTTGGAAAAGGGCGGAGGGAATTTTAGTGATTTATTCTCTAATTTAACAGATTCCTTGTTCTTGTCAGTTATACAAAAATATGAACTTAAAGGAATAGTTTCAAACCCGAAAACCTGCTGAACATTTACTCACCCTCAGGCCATCCAAAAGGTAGATGAGTTTGTTTCTTCATCAGAACTGATTTGAAGAAATGTAGCATTGCATCACTTGCTCACCAATGAATCCTCTGAAGTGAATGGGTGCCGTCAAAACAAGAGTCCAAACAGCTGATAAAAGCATCACAATAATCCACAAGTAACCCACACGGCCATCAGTTCACATTTTGTGAAGTGAAAAGCTGCATATTTGTAAGAAACAAATCTATCATTAAGACATTTATAACTTCAAACTGTTGCCGATGGCACCCATTCACTGCAGAGGATCCACTGGTGATCAAGTGACGTAATGCTAAACTTCGATGAAGAAACAGTGTCATCTACATCTTGGATGGCCTGAGAGTGAGTAAACTGTCAGCAGATTTTCATTTTTGGGTGAACTATACCTCAAATCTAATACATATCTCCGTCTCACCACATTTTGTGTTCTCCTCCCTCTCACCATCAAGGTTGCCGTTCAGCACGCTACATGTGAGGACCGCGGCCACACTAAAGTGCCCACTGGTTTCCCGGGCAACACTCTTCTGCTTGACATGCGTGGAAACCATTTCCATTATCTCCCTAGCAACAGTTTCCCCGGCGTCCCAGAGGTGGTGTCTCTTCACCTGGACAGCTGTACGATCCATGAGATCGAGGGTGGCGCCTTCCGGGGCATGAAGGGGCTAATGTATCTCTACCTGTCTGACAACCAACTGTCCTCCTTGGACACAAAAACCTTTGAGGGTGCCCATGAGATCATGTACCTTCACCTGGAAGGCAATAAACTCACTCGGTTTCCTTCTTCAGATACACTGGCTCACATTCCCAAACTCCTCGAGCTGCATCTGGAGAGAAACCTTCTAGCTAAACTAGAGCCTTCAGGGCTCCTTTCCCCGGTCCCTCAGCTGTCGGGCCTTTACCTCAATAATAACATCATCGCATCCATAGTGCCAAAAGCTCTGGATCCGGTACCCAAGCTGGATGTCCTTCATCTTGAAGCTAATGCGCTAACAGAAGTGCCGAGTGATGCACTAGGCCACGCCCCTCTTTTGTCTGAGCTCCGCCTTTCAGGGAATCCGATTCGCTGGATTGGGCCAAGAGCATTTCGGGCGGTGGCTGAAAGTCTAAAGCACCTGCATATTGATAGAATGAGTCTTCAGAAGGTAGAGGTCAAATGGCAAACTACATGAGATAATATTATGCACTATTAAAGGATAGTTCACCCAAAGATGAAAATTCTGTCATTAATTTCTCACGATCAAGGCCCAGAAAGGTAGTAAGGATATTGTTAAATCAGTGGATCAACAGTAATTATATGAAGCTACAAGAATACTTTTTATGCGCAAAGAAAACAAAAATAACTATTTTATTCAACAATTCTTCTTTTCCGTGTCAGTCTTCAACATGCGTCTTTCTGGGCCTTGAACGTGTCAGTTGCGTTGCTGTCTATGCAGGGTCAGAAAGCTCTTGGATTTCACCAAAATTATCTTGATTCATGTTCTGAAGTTGAACGAAGGACTTATGGGTTGGGAGCGACGTGAGCGTGAGTAATTAATGACAGAATTTTCATTTTTGAGTGAACTATTCCTTTAAATGATAAAGAAACAACAGTTAATCCTTGCTTTTACTAATCTCGATAATAGAAAATGTTCTTTCTTTGTCTCCTTGTTTGATTTGTGGTCGTAGATGAGCGCGAGGTCTCTGGCAGGGTTTGGTCCTGGTCTGTTGTCTTTGTCTCTGGAAGAGAATCAGCTAGAGGAGTTGCCTGACCTTTCACCTCTTACTGGACTTCAATACCTTACCCTTAACAAAAATCCGTTAATGTGTGACTGCAAATTACTACCATTTTACAGGTGAGATATCCATCCATCCATCCATCCATCCATTCATCTGCTGTTCTATCTTACAAATTATAGTCTATACCAGTGGCGGCTCCTGCCAATTCTCTCAGGGGGGGCAAATGTTGGGCGGTACTACACAAAACGCCACTCGACGCTGATTGGACTATTTAGAGGCAGAACAAACAGTGAAAGCTAGCGTAACACTGTGGTTGAATGTGAAAGAAAAAAATCCCTCCCTTTCGCGCTTTGGTGGTGCGTCGCCCAATCGCCCTAATGGAGAAACCGCCCCTGGTCTATACTCATAACAAATTACATGATGGAAATTATAGTCTGTAATGTATTATTATTATTAAATTCTTTTTATAATTATCTGTTGGATTACACATATTAGGTAATGTACTCTGACTACTTTTTGATTACTTTTAGATTACTTTTGAGCAAAAATACATTCCATTCTTTGTTATCAACATCGTGAAGTGTATTAAACATTACATTAAGCCAGGGTTTCAGGGGATTTAAGGCTGGAAGACTTTCCAAATGTATAAAAGCGGTAGAATTTCTGAAAGGAAAACTTAATAGAAAAAAAGAACTATCTGTCTATCTATCTATCTATCTATCTATCTATCTCAACTTTCTTTCAGATGGTTGAAAAATTCGAGTCTGAGTGTTGAGGCTGTGTGCGGTTACCCCTCTGAGCTGCGAGGTCAGTCCGTGATGGAGGCAGCCATCTTTAAGAACTGTTCTGGAGAAAATGCTCATTCCTTCAACGAGACCTCCATCTCTACCAAAGCCCCTACACCAAACAAACCCATGCAGACCCCAAAGGCCCGACCTGCGCAATCTGAACCTAATCCTAAACCAGCGAAGCCCAAACTGACAGCGGCACCAAAGAAAAATGAGTTTGATGAACTCAAACCAGTGCGGGCCCTGAAAAAAAACAGGCCAAACAAGAAAAAAAGAGGAAGGCGACCAAGGATTAAGTCATCAATAAAAAAAAGCCATGGAGTTTTTGATTTAAACTAAGTGGATAATGTGATATATTTATCAGGTGAACAAATTTACTATTTAGGTAAAGCTGATAAAGACCATAGTTGCTACTGTATTCAGTCTTTACATCCACTGTTCATAATTCTTGAATGTGCAATTTATTTCAAATTATGAAACATTCCAACAAACGTTGTTTTTTGGCATATATGGTTTAACTCATAAATATGGGTTTTTATAATGTTAAGTATGTGTCATTTCAAATAAATCTTTTGTTAAAAGAAATATTCTGAATTTCCTCACAAAATTATATATATATATTTTTTCAATTGCTTACAAACAAAATCTTTACTTGTGTCACAATTTCTGAAAGCTGACACTCAAACACCAGAACCACACACCAAATCTGCAAAACCATATGCTAATTCTCGGCCTTTGATTGAGTTTTCAATTTCATAAAGCACTTTTTGCAAAACACAACATACAATTCTCTATGTAACACACAGAAATCTAACAGGAATTAATATTATGGCAAAGGTGATTGCAAATGTTTGCTTTTGAGATGTGTTTGTGATATTTTGAATGCAGTGCTTCATTTTGCAAGATATGTGGCATTTTGGGCAATTCTTGGATTTGTGTGTAGGTTTTTTTAAAAAACAGGCAGTTTTGAACATGTGTGTAAGCCGTTGGGAAAAAAAGCGAATATTCTGAATTACAGAGAATACAATAACATCAACGTTCCTTTAAATATGGAAATATTTCGCTAAGAGCTCAGCTGGTTCCATGGTGTAATGGTGAATGCAGTGCTTCATTTTGCAAGATATGTGGCATTTTGGGCAATTCTTGGATTTGTGTGTAGGTTTTTTTAAAAAACAGGCAGTTTTGAACATGTGTGTAAGCCGTTGGGAAAAAAAGCGAATATTCTGAATTACAGAGAATACAATAACATCAACGTTCCTTTAATATAATATTTCGCTAAGAGCTCAGCTGGTTCCATGGTGTAATGGTTAGCACTCTGGACTCTGAATCCAGCGATCCGAGTTCAAATCTCGGTGGAACCTACTGTTTTTCACTTGACTACAAAACAGTAGAGTTTACTTTACAATCGATATGTTGAGAAAATTAGCTTTTCAAATATGTTAATATGGTTTAATATAAACAGAATTCTAAATACCGCGCAGTATTGCTTTATGTTATGGACAACCTATTAAACTGAGGAACGATGTGATCTCACTCACTCTCGCGAGATCACACCATTAGCAAACATGGCGGCTGCGATGGATGTAGACACCCCGAGTGGAACTAACAGTGGAGCCAGTAAAAAGCGTTTTGAAGTGAAAAAGGTACAGTATTGAGACGTCGGTATTAAGTATTGATGTCAAGTATATATATATACACATTTAAACCGCTTAGTCTCTTGAAAATGTAAAATCTTTCACAGCGGCGTGTTTATAATCCCCGGTTAGCATTGGCGTTGCGCTTTCTCATCAGTAATATTAATCACTTGCCTGTGCTCTTTTTATGATTACAGTCAGCTTTTAATATGTCTCATAAATATGTAGAATATGATATCAAGTAGATAAATGTAATTTGGGCGTTCTTGACGCCTCTGATTTGAACTCTAGTAAATTCTGCAGCGTAATCCTAGAGATTATTTAACCAGGCCACTAGATAAAGTGAGTTGTTTACCTAGACAGCATTTTTAGACATCATAGACGCGTTCCAAACGTTCAGTTATGAGCACTGTAGGCGCTTTCAGAACGCTAGATTTGTTCATTTTTGACACAGACGCGTTCGATTCAAACAGATTTGGACTTCGTAGACTCATTCTAACGTTCGATTCGATCGTTTTGGACTTTACAGGCACGTTCAGGCAATTCTTACACTTTTTTTTGAACACACATGGTAATCCATTAGTACCAGAGTATATGTGAAAGTTCCATGATATTACCATGTAAATTCTGTCAGTTTTGACTTGTATTTTCTGATCTGCGTGTATGGATTGTAAATCTGTAACAGGCGTTTTATTTCCTGGTGTATTGAGATGTACATTGGGTTGGATCTCAGTGCCACTGGAAAATAAAATAGTTACGAATTGTGTTGCGGGGATTTGTTTGGTTGAATTAATTCCAGAACTGTGTTTCTTTTGCAGTGGAATGCTGTGGCTCTGTGGGCTTGGGACATTGTGGTGGACAACTGTGCCATCTGCAGAAATCACATAATGGACCTCTGTAAGTATCAGCTCCCGTTTGGTCTCACCTGACTGTATTCTAGGTTCAGTTTCTTGTTTAACACGCTGTCAACTGCTATTTAGTAAGTTGTCTTGGTTGTTTAAGTCTAGTTCATCTTCCTTCAAGGTATAGAGTGTCAGGCCAATCAGGCGTCGGCTACATCAGAGGAGTGTACAGTGGCCTGGGGAGTCTGTAATGTGAGTTTGATGACACACACCAACTAACCAATCAGATGAATTCAAAATGTGGACTGTGTCTGTTCGATTGTGGTATAACTGTGTGTTTTTGGTTCTGCAGCATGCGTTTCATTTCCACTGCATCTCTCGCTGGCTGAAGACCAGACAGGTGTGTCCTCTGGACAATAGAGAGTGGGAGTTCCAGAAGTGAGTGATTTTGTTTCTTCATTAAAATAGAGGCAGACCCAGGAACTGTATTAATAATCAAAATTAGCCCAAAATTACAAAACGCGGCAAGTGTTAAAGTAGCCCAATTCCGCGGGAAAACTGCGGACTTGGCAACAATGAGCGTGACTGATACTTGCGCCAACTCTGCTCTAACTGTCGACTAGCAGTGGCAGTCAGATTGCCCCCTAGTGGATGGCTAAAGATTTGTTAACTCATATTCATAAATTCTCAAGGGAACGTCTCTGAATTAACTGATGCTGGCGCCCCCCTTGACAGGTGCTGGCGCCCCCCTGGGAATTGTTGTTCTAATCCCATATTTTCTGACATGTCTTTTATTGGTTGCAAATGTCCATGCTTGTATTAATACTCGTCTTTCGTTGCTCTGTTGTTCAGGTATGGCCATTAGCAGCCCAGTGTCTGTGCTTCAGATCCAGGATTTTCCTTCCTGAGAAGCATTTTTGTTTAGACGTCACCATTCTCTCCCTGTCAAAGACCAAATGGTCCACATTTAAATTGTTATACTAGTTAGGATGTTTTTTATTTCTGTGTTGTATGCAGCATTCTAAACTGTAAATTATCAATAAAGTCTCTCTAAATTCAGCTCTATCAGTTCCAATATTTCTGAAATTGCATTCTATTTTAACACAACTTAAATATTTATGTGCTGTTGTTTACATTAAAGGGGTCATAGGATGCCCATTTTCCACAAGGTGATATGATTCTTTGGGGTCTTAATGAAAAGTCTGTAACATAGTTTGGTTAAAATTTCTCAATGGTAGTGTAAAAAACACCTTTTTTACCCTGTCAAAAACAGCTCTTTTCAGATCAAGCCGTTTTTGTAGCATTTTCCTTTAAATGTTAATGAGCTCTGCTGACCCCGCCCCTCTCTTCCGAGCTGCTCTCACAGACTGTTTACTTTAGCTGTATTCATCGTGAAACTTGCTAATTAGCACATTAATAGGAATGGCGATTTGCAAAGATTCATTACAAAACATTATACTCACTTCTTCTGTAGATGAGGCTGGATCACGAATGATTCGCGCGAACAGACGCATTTAGGTAGATCGGGGGTGCATTCCCTTCAAAAACAAATGTAATCCACTGCGTCTTCAGCGGCTCAGATGTCGGGAGTAAATGACGACTGCTATGTTCATTATTACATCCAACAACAGAACACCTCAATCACTTAGGAGTCATTCTTCAAACTATCATGGGAGGGGCCTGTCTGTGTGACATCACACAGACAGGCATCTGAGATCGGCTCGATTTGAGAAAGGGGAAAACATTTAACCAGATAAAAAAAAAACACTGGGTGGATTTTTATCATTATAGGGTGATTGTGTACACACACT